CTTCCGATCTGTCGTGGAAATTGAATGCGCGCTACATTTGCCGAAGATGAAAGGACCGAATGAATTCGTGGAACCGAGTACATACGTGACTTTTCAGGATTTAACTCATAAATCCGATTCTAGTAGCCAATTGAATTCATATATGACGACGAATGTTTTTCCGCACAGCTGCAATCCAAAATGGAATTGGAAATGCGACGCAAAACTGCCAATGGACCTACTTTTAAACGTACGTAACCTTTGCAAACATCCATCGCATATTTCTTATCATATGTAACTTTATATTTGATACATGTTTTATTTATAATAATAATTAACGTTTTAGAATCAGAAAAGATTAATCCTCAAAGTATGGTATTTGATCGATCCAGATACGTCGACAGAAATAAATTTAGGAAAAGACATCGTGATTGGTTTTTCTGCTGTCGATCTTTCGGTTCTGATAGCTGGATTTCCCACAGTATCCGGATGGTTTCACATTATGGATTTTACCGGAAAATGCAACGGACAAATTAAAGTAAATTTTTGTGATTATTTTGAACAAAACGTATATATTTAATTAAAAGTCATATATGTGTAATTAATTTAATTTAGGTAACTATAACACCTCTGGATAGTTTACCTTTGGGAAAAATTGCACCGACTGATGCTATTAATCTATCGAGATGCAGTAATTTGTCGCAAACAAACTGGCATCTGTACAACACACCTTGTAACAATACAGCAGAATCTAATAATGCGCATCGAATGTTATCATATGCAAGCCATAATAAAGACGGATATGCACAAAGTGATCGTAAGTCGAATGAATTTGTAGCAGAAGTTGGTCACGGCCTGGAAGATGTTTCTATGTCTTTCTTATCGTCGTCTTTGAAGTAAGTATAGTATTAGGATTATTTTCTTTACTTTATGTTACTATTCTTCGCACAAATTTAATTATGATCGACACGTGTGTGTTATAGGCAAAAATTGACCGAACTAGATGAGATCACAAAACGTTTGCAGTCACGTTTAAGTGATGTCACAAATACGGCTTTCGAAGATGATTTTGATAACGATTTTGACATGATCGAACCAAATAGCGATAATGAAAATACCGATGATAAAAACGTCGAGATTACACCACAAAGCACAGGTTTCGGGTACTCTGCTAACGGCACATCACAAATGCCGAAACAGAATAATATACAGAGCGATCGAAATGACGAGGGACAGACTTCTGCTATAAACAGTAATTATAATTCACATTTTGAGCAGGGTTCCGATCAAGTTAAAGCTATAAATTCGGATACGATTGATACCGGGTATTGCACCGGTTCCAACGCGCGTTTCGCACAACATCTCGGCTATTATCACAATCAGTATCAAAATCGATGCAGTTCGTCGACTCGTAATTATCTATCAAGTAACAGCGCAGAGTATCCGGCGCGAGGTACCAAAACGCATATAAATCATCTACTCGACAAGCTTTCCTTGGACTTGCCGCCCAGGCCGCCTTCGGCAGCGGCCATACCAATGAGAAAAGACATTCTCGAACTGTTTGCAAGTTTACGGGAACATAGGAATAATTCCCAGGACAAAGGCAAGAACGATCGTGATATCGATACTTGTTCAGTGCCCACTCAGACTGATGATTTGAGCGAACCGCACGCTTATTCTCATACAACGAATCTAGTCACGGTCGACGATGAAAGTTTTTCTAAATCATCCCAAATATCGGAATTACAGCCTCGTAATAGAATATCGACAGTGATACGCGAAGAATTAGTTGCGGAAGAAAATAACGAAAATTCCAATTGTGATGAACTAACGACATATCTAATCACTTCCAATGTACGTCATATGGACTTGGACAATACATTCAATCCGCTGCTCTATCAACATTTGTTGCCAGATCTGCAAATTACGACTGCTGTATCGCCGGAAGGAGAAGCGGAACAACTGGATAATCAGTACGCGAAAAGTTTCGGCATGGCAATGATGCGCGGCAATGATAGCAGAATCGATCATTCGACGGAGAACAAAACGACTTTATCTCGAAACGACGTGCCAACAAAAGGTCGGACAAGCGCATTAGAGTCTGAAGAGAGCACGGGAGAATTTTCCGCTTTGACAGATTCGGATATATCGGGAAATATCGACAACAGTATCGATGTAACCGTCATATATAAATCCAGCAACAATGATTTAATGTCGGATAATAGTACGGAATCGACGATTGATATTATGTCATTCGACAAATCATCAGCACAGCAAACAGACATCAAAACGAGAGATTACTGCTCCACCGAATTGTCTGTTCCCGGAGTATCGAGACAAGCGCCTGAAGGCGGCAATCCTGTAGAAGATGCTAAGATAGTTTCGGTAATGACGAATCGACAAGATGACATTTAGAATGTGTCAACAAATAATTAAATACTTTTGGATACTTGTGTAAGATTTGTAATTAGACTAGAATATATAGAAAAAAAACAATCTTTGTATATGCATGTGTGTGTGTGTACAGAATGAACCAATAACAATCAACAATATCTTCAAAACTATATTTGCTGGTAGAGAGGAAAAATTTATCGAACGAAAATTGCACTGTACAGAAAGAGCTACTGTATGCAAAAGATAAATTTTTTATGGATGAAATTGCTTAGAGGAGATTTGAAGATTTTCAATTTTTTTAGATAAAAAATCACGTTTTTTTTCATAAATATATCCACAGTCTTTTTAATTATTTTGCATAAAAGTATTAAGAAATCATTAGAAAATCATAGTTTATTTCATAACTAATTTTGACGAAATATGAAATATTTTATATATCATTCACATTCTTTGATTAAAATATTCACTAAATTTTTCATAGAATAATGAAGAAAATTGATTGATGATTTTATCTTTTCAAAAGTACAATATTGCAACATGCAATTGCTTTTTTTAAATATTCTGTTTTTTTTATTTTTTTGTAAAATGATCCTTTTAACAAGAAGATTTAGTTTTTTTATAAAACGCCGAATTTTTGTAAGCCATCGTTTTATAAAAATTTTAAGCCTTTTTAAAAAAAGACTTTACAATGAATCTGCAACATATATAAAAAATATATCTATAAATGCATACATATATAATATATACATATATTTATAGATGTATATTTTATGATATAACACATAACTGCACACATTACTCATAATTATGCCATGTAAATTCCGAGATAAATGAGTATTAATATTAGTGACAACATGGAGTACTATATCGATTTTCCATTAAAATTCATCTATATTAGATAGGATTTTTCTTGAAAGCCTAATGTTTAATGTGGACATGCTAATTAAAGTATGCTTAAGATTTCTGATCCTTCACCAACATTAAATTGAATTGTGATGTTAGAAGAAAGCAATTATATGAATATTCTTGCGAATTAAATTTATTTTTTTTAGTATGCTATCACAATTGCAATCAATAATATAGATTTGTAAAATATATTGAAGATTTTTCTCTTTCGGTTCCTGAATTAATAAATAATCCTAAATCTTGATTATTTGTCATAAATCATATTTTTGCCGGAATTTAAGATACATGCGGTTACATGTACATTTATTAATAAGAAAAAAGTTTTCAATATATTTTACCAATTATTAAATGTGAGTGGTGGTATATGAAAAAATCGTAATATTTTGCAAGAAATTTTATATTTTTCACTTCTGATATTATAATTTAATACATGCAAGAAAGCAATGAGGAAACAGGAGCTTTAAATTAGTTGATAATTAATTGTGGTATTGGTGCTTGAATTAACTTATTATATACTTATTATCATATATTTTCTTTTTCTTGAAGAAGGTATCATCCAAACTAACTCAGAACTTATCCTATTGACTGATGACTGTGTATACGTAATGATAATATCAAGTAAATATTGACATCGGATCACTCTATTCAGAATATTTAAACTATTATTTGAAGTATTTACTATATATATATATGCGCATATTTTTATATAATCTTTGTGTGTATATAGCGCCTAAAATTAGACATATATAAGTTTATGAAAATGTATAAATATTGATTAATAATTAAATAAATTCAATCTATGTAAAAAAACTTTCTTTATATTTGATACATATAATAATAATAGTAAAATCATGAGATTGAAAATTGTGGATGAAAAATTGTATCCGAAATTTAACATCTGTTATAATTCCATTTTTGTTAATCTTTTAAATAAGCCGAGAGATATGTTTCTCTTCTTGTCCATTGTTTGGCTATAGCAGGATGTATCAACCATATCTTTGCATCAGTGCCTTCATGAATGTGAATACCTGAGCAGTCTCTTACTTTCTACAATTACATAATCATGTATAATTATATAAACATTATTAGAGAATTTATATTAATAATACTGAAATCTTACACGGAATAATTCAAGTTTCCTCTTCTTAAATTTTACTTGTTCTTGAAATTCTCGTGTCATACAAATCCTGCACAAGAAGATCTTGTTATTCAAGTGCCAATAATCTCCTGTTGGCTTTTTTCCACATATCTTGCAAATATCCGTGTTGCGACTACAACACTTGAGATCGATACCGAGTTGCATTTTAACTCTACCGCCGAAACTATGTTGAAATGTAATGCCTTTTATCTCTTTGCTGATGTACATACCGGGCCTGAAACAAAACTATTGTTACTTTGCAGAAAACTTCTGTGAAAATAATGTACGGAAGATTTTTACCCTGGATTTTTGTTGACATACAAGAATTTTCTTTCACTGGTAGATCCAAATGGGTATTTCTGTGATTTGACATGTTTAGGAAAGGAAGAAACATTGTAATCAGATGGTGATGGATAATCTTCCACATAAGCAATAGATGTGCCAAATCGAGCAAGGCCACTATAGCCCTTTTTGCTGATGCTATGAGAACATGGCTAGTGAGAAAGAGATTAAATAAATATAATTATAACATAACTTAATATTAAAATAGTAACTTAATATATATCTATGTAAAAGAGTTAGTTACCTTAGTTTTCATGGCGTTAAATGATTCCAAGACATTGTATGAGCCAGGCCCTATATTGGGATTGTCTTCTAAGATGTAATATCTCATAAAGGGGCTCGCTCCCTTCTTGGAGGTATCGCGTGATTGTCCGGAACCGAAACATATTCTTTGCTGCTCCGGTTTCCTTATTACGTACTCGAATTCTGTATCGACGGAAAATAGTTGCATCCAGTCTTAATTTTTGAAAGATATGTATACGTTGTCTCGATATAACTCTACACGTTATTATAAGTAAAAATACCACTGGATTTTTTTTTCTCGATCTTGTAGATTTTTCCAGTACTTGTAAAACATACTATTCTCTATGGTAACCTTAATATTGATCTAACTGGTTACATGATGAAAATTATTACATCTCTCTGATGTATATATATGTATATATATACACTATTTAATTAAAATAATAATTCTGCATATTTACAAAGAGTGTATACACAAATCTATTGAAAAAGATACATATTTTCTTATATGACATAACGAATTTATATTCGCACACACCTTCCATATAGACCAGTTTATTCCGAGGCTTATTTATTTGTAGGCTTTAATATTTACGAGAGAGACGATCGATGCGAATCGATCTCGATTATATATTTGACTGAGAAATTTCCAAAATCGAACAATGTGTATATATTTCAGACATTTCTCTTCTCATCGAAAAACCGAATCATAATTTGGCGCCACCAGTCGACCGCGCATGCGCACGTTCGATTACGCGCGCGGCGCGCAACGGTCTTGTGCTCAATGTCGTAACTCGAGAAATTGAAAATAATTTCTATCGAGAGAACGCGTAGCTGGTTTTATTCATAAATGCACGAAATAACTGCTGAATTCCTGAGCGTGCACAGGTGCAAATTTAACGCGCGACGGATTCGAGACGGAAGACAAAATAAGGGCGAGCGGTCCGCACAGGAAGCGACGACGACGCTGTCGCTTGAGCAACATAGTGCCGTCAGTCGCCGCAGGTCGATGGTGTTGTCCGTACCGACGGTCCGTCCGTAGCCGTGCTCGCGATGCGTCCACCGATGTGTATTTCTGCACATGGCCGTGCCGCTCGACGGGCTTCCATACTGCTCCGCGGCTTTTGGCGACCCGACACCGGTAAACGCATGCTTTTCACGTCGTATTTCGCACGCCGTGAACGGGGAACGCGCGATAGTACGCGGGAAAGCGATTTTCGCGCCGATTAAAACGTTTCATCCACGAAAACCGCAATCGCCAACTCCACGGTGCGCTGCATCGTCTCGGTGTTGGCGCCACGACGTTGCATCGTTTCCACGACGTCAAGAGATATTCTCTTTCTCTCATCGCTTGATAAATCCTGCTTCTTTTCCGCATCTTTCGCTAAAAAAAAAACGATATTTATCGGTATCGATGAAGTGCACCGTATAATCGTCGCGCGATATTCAAGGACAAACAATTCGAGGTCCATGGTGTCCCATTCTTCTCTACTTGATAACGCGATATTTACGGAGAGATTTTCTCATCGCTTTTTGCACGGAAATCATCGCGATATATGACAAAATATTGTCTTGTGGAAAAAATTATTTCTTTTTTTGTTAAACTATATATTGGTGTGATAAATAACTATTTTTCTAATCTAAATATATATTATTATATTTTTTAAAAACAAAGAGTATTAGCACTCTTTTCTGTGAAACGTCTTTCCATGCATATCTTATTTAACATAATTTTTTTTCTCAGGATTGTGTCCATTATTTCTAGAAGAATTATATTATACTTTGTATCTCTCTTCACCATGACTACGTCGTCAGAAGATGTTTTAATGCAAGTGAGTCAAGTACGTTATAAAAAAGGAGATGGTACTTTATATGTGATGAACGAACGAATAGCATGGATGCTCGATAACAGAGATACTGTATCTGTCAGCCATAAATATGGCGATATTAAATGTGAGTCTTTAAGGAATTGTATAAACAGTGAATTAGTGTTGTCTTTAAGAAATTTCTGTATAACTAAAAGATATTTGACTCTTATTTTCTTGCAGCGCAAAAAATATCACCAGAGGGAAAATCAAAGATTCAACTGCAGGTGGTATTACACGACGGTACATCATCTACATTTCACTTTGTAAATAAAAATGGACAAGAAGCACAAATTAAAGATCGAGACGATGTAAAGGAGTTGCTGCAACAGCTACTACCAAAATTTAAGAGAAAAGTTAATAAAGAGTTAGAAGAGAAAAACAGGTAAAATTTCTATAGTTTCTTTATTATTTGAGTAGAATGTAATGTTAATTTATTAACTATAAACATCTTTTTTAGAACCCTCCAAGAACATCCCATGTTGCTCCAATTGTATCGTGATCTAGTTATCACACAAGTTATATCATCCGAGGAATTTTGGTCTCAACATGCTGCAGAGTATACACAAGCCAAAAAGATTCAACGCCAAGAGATAGGTGTTAATAGTGCTTTTCTAGTAAGCTTTTTCTTCTATCCTAAGATTTTTTGTTTAATACACAAATTATCAGAGTTATTAATGAAGTACTGATTAAATTTTTCAGGCAGATATTAAACCACAAACTGATGGCTGCAATGGGTTAAAATACAATTTAACCGTCGATATAATAGAATGTATATTTAAGACTTACCCAGCCGTTAAGAGGAAACATCAGGAAAATGTGCCTCACAAAATGTCAGAGTCTGATTTCTGGACAAAGTTCTTTCAGTCACATTATTTTCACAGAGATCGTATCAATGCTGGGACCAAGGATCTTTTTACCGAATGTGCCAAAATAGATGATCAAGAACTTAAGAAGGAACTTCAATCTGGGATAAATGATCCTTTGGTAGATATCACTTCCTTCGAGGATCAAACGCTGGATGAAAACTATGGAAGCGGATGTAACAAGTCTGATAAAACATCGGGAAATATCGTTCATCAAAGTATGATCAAGAGGTTCAATCAACATAGTATAATGGTTATGAAAGCCAGCACTGCCAAACAATCGACACAAACTAATCAACCGCAATTAAATGGATCTACACCGTCTGCGAGTAAAGTAACAAATAACGAACTGGACGCTGGACCAAAGACTAAAAAAGTACAGTATAATCTATTCAAAGTTATAATCTATTTTTGCAATTATAATTGGCGCTCAAACAAATTGAAAATGTATCATCTAATGTGTTTACAAATATCTTCTTATAGAGTAGAATACAAGAAAAGCTAACTTACGATGATCTTGACACGAGCTGTGACATACATATGAATAAGGAAACACCATTGCATCTGTCGCATGTAGATAGATATTTGCATGGACCTATACCAGGATATGGAAATACAGAACCAACTTCAGAAGAATTACTTATTACATTAAGCCAATTAAAAAAAGAGGCTTCTGGATGGCTGTATGGTAACATGTTACCGCGACAGGCAGCGACATCCTTAGTTAGTCCGGCTGCAGCAGTATCGGCTTTAGGTGAATTAACGCCTGGCGGATCTTTAATGAAAGGTTTTCGGGAAGAGAGTCTCGGACGTAAGTATATTTTTGATATTAAATATATAGCATATAATATACACATTTTCACTCATTTCTTCTATATATTCTTGAACCAATATGGACACAAATATATATTCATAATCGTTTAAATAAATATTATGCAGAATTAATACCAAAGGATTTGGAGAAAGAATTGTGTAATGTATATGTATGCGCATGCGAGTTGTTGAGGCACTTTTGGCGAAGTTTTCCTCCAACGACACCACAACTCGAGGAAAAAGCAATCAGAATGCACGAATCTTTACATAGATTTCATTCTGCTAAATTAAAACCTTTTGAGGTAAGCGCCGTGTGTTACTCTTTTCTCATTTATCAATGTCTGTGGGGATTTCAATATTATATAAATCTCATTTTCAGGATCGTGTGCAAAGAGAATTCTCCGCAGTTAGTCAACACTTGACAAGTCATCTCAATCAATTGCTAACCGCTGCATATGGAAAGTTTGCAATGTGGCAACAGCGGAAGATGCAAATGAGGTAGCCGTTCGTTAAAATCTTTTAAAAAACAGCAAAATAAATAAAAAACAGAGCAATATTGATCACATATTGCATTTTGTAATGTTACCGTAATTAGATATTAATATGGATGTATTTTACATAAAAAAAGGAAAAAACCAAAGCTATGCCAGGTCACATGTGTCCTGTGATGCCACATACTGTCTTTATTTATTATTATTACTTTTAAACATATTTATAAAAAGTTTTTTCAAACTGTCTTCGCAATATAATTATCCGAATTCAGTCGCAACTAATGATATATCAATCCGTAACTATGTATATTTTCATAATATGTAGTTTATAGCTTATTTATTTCTTCCAATGGATTATACCACATATATTTGAAAGAGCGTGTTCATACTTAAAAGCGCACGAATGTTCTAAAAATATCTCGTTATGCTCAGAGAAAACATGAGTTTATAAATCTTTACGCGAGGAAGATGTAGTTGTATATAATCATGTAATGTCTATATTATGCGACTATTTTGATTTAACAAAAGTTTTTTGAATGAGACGTGTGACTGCAAGTATTGTACGATATCAAAATAACTGTGATACCGCCACTGTACAGTCAAGTTTGTTAATATATTCTCTCGCCTCGATAATATTTTCGTTATTACACTCTTGATTGTTTTGTTGACATTTATGCAACAATAATTTATGTGAACCTTTTTTTATTCTTTGATCTTCATATTCTTTTCTACAACAAGCAAAGGTTGAGATAATTGTTACAGTTTTGCGACAAAGTTTATTATGTAAATTCAAATCTCACGTCTCTCGAAGATCGTTACAAAGAGTTTTCAAGTTCTATTATTTGTTTTTACTACAGACAGTGGCATTGGTATACTTTGTATGATATCTGCGACATACTCAACTAAGTGTCTTAATTGTTGAATCCTATTTTTTCTTTACACTAGTGGGTAAAGCAATCCGCGGATTCTCATAAACTGCCTACTCAGTCTCTACTGTAGCAATAATTTGGCAGTTGTAAAAAATATAAACGCGATACCACCTATCTATCTCAATCACTAGTAATGAGTGATTGTACTCGCGTGTTACGCAATTTAATTATTACTAGGCTAATATTATAAATATATTCTTACATTATGATTATAATAAATGTTATTATTGTGATTACGAATTTTTAATATCTAATATTTCAATCTTTTTTTTTCATCTCATTTTTTCCATTCTTGCATATATTTAGATATACTTTCTTTTATCCCCCCTCTCCCTGTATGTATATATTTATATTTAAAATAAAAACGCTCTTACTATTTTAAACTTTAAATAAAACTTGAAAGGTGGCGAAGCAACTACGAAAGTACGAATCCATTTTAATAATCAACAGGTTGCTGGTTTTGTGTGTATATTTGTCATCTATTTCCATTCGATAAAAGTAGTTCGTCTCCGTATTAAAAGACGAGCAAGAGAAAGTACCCTTTGCGAAGAAATATTTCACAATATGTAATGTATACAATGCGATAATTTTTTCGTACAATATTTATCCTTTAGCAAAAATCTGTCGCAGGCTATAAACTGTTATAATAAATTTATTTAAAAGAAATTTGAAAAAAACGCGGGTTTGTGCTTATCCATTCGAAAGTTCGGCGTGCACGATTTACCCGAAGCAGACGGAAGATGGCACGGTCTATTGTTGACCGGGATCAAAATGGTGGTCAGTAATGGGCAGCAGTGCGGGGCGACATTGTGCACGGCGCACACGAATGTCGATGAATATCGGTTGTCGTCGGTATTCTAGATGATATAAATGAGCTTGTACGAGGACCTTGAGTAACATAGCGACGCCGTGTTAAGCGGTGCCCGGAATGCGTTCTACTCATGAACGCACGCGCTCGGATCATGTGAGCTGCGACTCGCCGTCCGGTGGTGCTGCTGGTGCTGCTGGTGCTGCTGCTGGTGCCGCCCGCCTGGTATCGCCTGTCGCACGTTCGCCCCGTAGCAGTTTGTGTAGCCATATTTACCGTGTTATTTGCCGAGACGTCGTCGTGTTTAGCGATCCGGTGAGCGGTGCATCGTTTCGTTGGCCGATATACTCCGCCGTATGGCTGCACGCTCTTGAAAAGGATAGCGTTGCCGTTATTGTCATCATCATTGTCATCATCATTGTCATCATCATCGTCGTCATCGTCGTCGAGTCGCGGGGGTCGCCTCCGTGTCGAGTATGCGACGATTGTTCTCCGCTGTCTCGTCATCGTCGGATGTGCAGTATCCACGCCGATTGTCATCGCTACCGATCGCCGTAGGTGAACGTTGTGTCACGAGAGACATCACCGAGACGAGTAATCTCGGATCTTGCCAACATCGCCGATCGATTCGTCGTCATTCACGTCCGAGCGCGCGATTCCGCGGTGTTCCGGAGACGTCTAATCAATCGGTTACCGAGTGTATATTTTTCCATTGTTGTGTACGTCGTCCCGGATCCTATACGAAACGTAAGCCGACGATACTTACCTTTCATCGTTTTATAACGCGATTAGTTTTCTTATCAACACGAGATTGTACCTGGAAATCATGATTACGAGAATGCTTTGCGCTTGTTGACAGAATTAATAAAAGCAAAAGAGGCTGTCATAAGAAAGGCATAGAGTTATCTATATTTTGTTTCTTTAATGTTTCTTTTAGCTGATCTTATGTTTGCATTTTTTTCAGATGGGGAGCCTCTGCGCTGCTAATCCCAATTGTTGGGTGAAATTTTTATGACTGCATTTGTTGGAAATGTTTTCAATATAATTTCCTATATATAAGAGTGCAAAGGAATATATAAAAGTTGTGAGATAAAAAGTTATGTTATGAATATCTCAGAGTGCATATATTACATTGCAAATTGGAAGAATCTACTAAACGTGTACCAAGCGAGGCACTATTGTGCCAAGCTTGGGTAATGGATCCCATTGGTCCATGGTATACATCGTATAATCGTCTCACTGCGAGCGGCACTACCGGAACGTTTCAAACGACAACACCAACTACAACTAGTGATTTTGTACCTCATCATTTAGCAACGGCTGTTACACAGGCAGTGCCATCAACAACGACGTCGCAATTACTTCTACAAGCGGCACATACAACAGCAACTCTGGCGGGTCAACCGTCCCCTTTTAACCCTGGGGGGTTTCTAACTCCACCCCCTGTGGGTTACTCTTCCATCATCCCAATACTAAGCAAGCGCATTATGTTACTCAGCATAGACAAGCTCTTGCTCAAGCGCAAGCGGTATCGGTGACAAAACAAAACACCACGAACGAATCCGATATTCCTACGTTAAGAGAGAATTATAGCTCGGCGCATCAAGCTACGTTTTTCGAGCAACAAGGAGCATCGACATCGCCTACGACATCGACTCTGGCCTGGACACCTCAGAACAATACGCAGCTTCCTAGTCCATTTGGTATTTTACCGCACGAGAGTGTCGTTCCGTCATCCCCTGGTCCGCCTTCCACAAAACCTAGCAATACTAGCGGTTACGAAAACACCTTCAACGCACATTTCAGTACAATGCAGACTATAAATAATATCAATGCATCTCAATTAACTAGTCCATCTGCGTGCAGCGCGGACTTTAAGGTTGCCAGCTGCCCGGCTGACGCGAAGAAATCAGTCAATGTGAGACCTCAATCGCCTACCTCGGCTAGCGTAAAATCCATTCCCGTGCAGATTAGCGGTAGACAGACGTTCTTTCATCAAGTACCGACGACGACTTTCAGTTCCGATACTTTGACGAACACTTATGCGAGTGCGGGAAATGGAAGTCAGTCCGCCGCCGGAAATGGAAAGGTGCAGTCATCGGGACTGCAACATCAGCAATCGTGTATCGTGTCGACGCCGAACAATGCCTCGGGTAAGGAATACAGGATACCACAACCGCCCTCGAGATCGACTGCGTCAACGACAATTTTTCTTAGCACTTCCGCGCGCTCGGGTTCTACGCAAGCGGTTCA